GGGGGGGGGGGCCCCAACAGGCCAGCGGGGGGCCCCAGGACCCCCAGCAGCAGACACCGGAGTGTACATACACCTGCTGCTGCCGCTGCAGCAGCAGCGCGCTGCATAGAAAGGGGGGCCTCCACATAATCGAATTTGAGATCCCTTTGGGGTCCCCTGGGGGGCCCCTTGGGGTCCCCTTGGGGGCTCTTTGGGTTTTCTTGAGGGCCCCCTGGGGCGTTTTTGGGGTTCTCTGGGCTCTGTGGCGTTGTCAGTGTGCAGAGACGCCGGGGGGCCCTTAAACCCTTGTGGGGGCCCCCCGGGTACTTCTGGGGGCCCCCTGGGAATTTATAGGGGCCCTCTGGGGATTTATGGGGGCCCCCTGGGGACTTCTTTAGGTCCATGGAGGACTTGTGGGGCCCCCTTGGGAATTTTTGGGGCCCTTCAGGGACTTTGGGGGGCTCCTGGGTACTTTGGGGGTCCCGTTAGGGGCTTTTGGGGGCCCCTTGAGGACTTTTGGGGGCCCCTTGGGGCCCCTTTTGTTTGCATGTTTTGTTTGAATTTGGGTGGAGGGGATTTAGAGGCGAACTGTAGATATATATATATATATTGAAGTATACAGAGTCTGAGTATATATATATAGAAACGTACATATATATATCATAGGTAGACATACAGAAGTGGAGAAAGCGCGCAAGTGCATGGGCGTGTCTCAGGTGTACGTACACCTCGCGGCGTCGTGCGCTGCTAGGGGATATATTTCTTTTTTGGACTTTTGTTTCTCCCGCGTTTGCTTTTGAATTGTATTTGCATTGCTTTTGTGTCATATTTATATTTTATTTCGCATTGTATTTGCGTTTTTGGCGGAGAAACGGGGCTTTTCTGCGTTTGGAATGCATGCATTTGTACAGCAAGTTCGGGTGCATGTACACCTGCACAGTTTGGTAGGTATCCTGCAGAATGCATGCAGATATTGTGCATGCATTTGAATTCCATTTGTTCCATTTATTAGTCTCATTCATAATATTTATTTGCCATTTATTTGTCGAAGAGTCAAACAAAAGCAGCCCCTCCATTTGCATGTGCCTGTACAGCGCAGGTGTACATACACCGCATCCAGGTGTACATACCTCGCGAAGTTTCCGGAAATAGCGAATTCTTGAACAAATCTAATTCAAAATAATCCAATATAATGTGATATAATAGACTACAATATAATATGTTATTTATGTATAAATAACAAATATATATGCATAAATATATATATTTATATGCATCTTTCTTAAGACAGCAATCCCATTTATAATACAAATATGCACATTGAGTATGAAATGCATAAGGCCCTGAACATTAAATTCAATTTCATTTGAATTCAAATTTAATTTCATTTGAATTCAAATTTAATTTCATTTGAATTCAAATTTAATTTCATTTTGAATTTAAATTCATTTTGAATTTAAATTCATAATGAATTTGAATTCAGAATTAAATTTCATCAAAACGAGCGAAGTCCATTTCACACAATAAAAAGCTTTTTGCAAAAAGCCGAAAAGTCCATTGGCCTCATTTCGCTCCTAGGCAAGTAAATGCCTTTTTCTCATTTTTCGAAAACACCAGAAGTCCCTTTAAAAATAATAAAATAAAAAACAAAATATCTTTTCTTTAAACACAACTGCAGCAGCACAAAAGGCATAAAGCAGCAAAAAGAAACCAATAGAGGGACTAAACAAAACAACAGAAACAAAAAGGGGGCCCCAGAGTCTCAGCAGGACCTCCGGGCTATGCAACACTAACAGGAGGGCCCCTGGGGCCCCTTGGGGCCCCTTAGGGCCCCCTGGGGCCCTTTGGGGCCCCCTGGGCATTCCTAGGGACTCAAAGAAGCCTCTCAGGGCCCCTTACGGCCCCCTGGAGCCCTCTAGGGGCCCCGGGGGGCCCCATGGGGGCCCCCTCAGCATATTTGGGGATTCAGGGGAGCCCCTGGGGCTCCGGGGGGAACCTGGGGCCCCCGGGGGCCCCCAGGACAAAGTTAGAGACTAAGGGGGGCCCGTAGAGCCCCCAGGGCCCCCCAATTTGTAGTTGCTGCTGAGGTTTGTGGGTCTGTGCCCTTTTGCGGTGTCTGCACTTTGCTGCTGATGGGGGCCCCTCCGCAGCAGAAAGGGGGGCCCCCTGGGGCCCCCCGGGGGCCCCCTTTGTTTATAAAATGGTTTTAAATGTATTTCAATTTTTAAAAAAAGAGAAGCCCCAAAAAAAAGATAAACCAAGAGTGGGGGGCCCCCCCGGGCCCAGCTAGCCACCTGGGGGGGCCCCCCAAGTGCTGCCAGGGTTTGTTGCTGTCTTTGAGGCCCTGAGACTCCCTGAAAATCTCCGACTTTGACAAAATATATTGGGGTTTAGGGTTTAGGGTTTAGGGTTTAGGGTTTAGGGTTTAGGGTTCGCCGTCTCCCGCGAGGGCCCCTTAACTCAAGGGCCCCTGCCTCTCTCGGGGGGCCCCCAAGCCCCAACTAAAGCATTTCTTGAGGCCCCTAGGGTCCTTAGGGGGCCCCAGGGGCCCCTCTATTCCCTTTGGGGGCCCCCCTGCAGCAGCATGGGGGCCCCCCCGCAGCCGCCCCAGGAGGCCCCCGGCCCCGGGGGTCTTGAGGGGCCCCAGGGGCCCCCTATACGGGGGGGCCCTCAGGGGGGGCCCCCAACCTCTGCTGCTGCTGGGAGAAGACCTGTGGGGCCCCACGGGGGGCCCCCTCAGGGGGCCCCTGAGGGGGTCCCCCTGCAGCCGCAAGGGAGTTCAGCTGAAGCGCCCAGGGGGCCCCCAGATGGGACCCCTTCGGAGGTACAAGGGCTCTTAAATGGGGCCCCTCAAGTGCCAGGCGGGGGCCCCAAAGAGACCCCACAAAATGGGGGCCCCCAGGAAGCTCAGGGGGCCCCAGAGGAGCTCCAGGGGCCCGCTGCGCTGGTTTTGGGGGCCCCTAGGGGGCCCCCCAGTACCCCTTGTGAGGGGCCCCCTAAAAGACTCCGCAGAGAGCCTCTGGAGGGGCCCCTAAATGATCTAAAAGAGACAACGCCTGCTGTGCACCCTCAAGGGGGGCCCCTTGTCACTGAAGGGGGGCCCCCTGTGGCTGAAGGGAGGCCCCCCAGTGGCACACAGGGGCCCTTTGAGGGTACAGAGGGGGGCCCCGGGGGCGCGGCGGGGCCCCCTGAGGGCAGAGAGGGGCCCCCCGAGGGCGTGGAGGGGCCCCCTGAGGGTACAGAAAGGGCCGCTGAAGGTCAACGGGGCCCCCTTTCTTCAGGGTTTTGTTTGGCCCCAAGCCAGTTGGCAGGAGCCCTGGCGTTTTTAGAAATGGGAGATTATCTCAGATGCCTTCTTGTTTCCAAGTAAGTCAAACTCCAACTTCTCGGACTAGGGTTTAGGGTTTAGGGTTTAGGGTTTAGGGTTTAGGGTCAAGGGTTAGGGTTTAGGGTTTAGGGTTTAGGGTTTGGGGTTTTTGCCTCTGCAGAGTCTTCTATGAAGCAGCTTGCATAGCGCTGGCCGGCGTCACTTCTATTGGGGACTCAGGCGAGTGCAAACCCTAAACACTAAACCCCAAACCCTAAACCCTAGAAAGGCTCAAACCCTAGACCACAATCACTGAGGCTTTGGTGCTGCATGCGTGTTCCATTTCAGCTCGAGTTATTCTGACGGATGAGCAGCTCGAGGTCCTTCTTAAGCGTTGGCACGTCCAAACCCTAAACCCTAAGCCCTAAACCCTAAACCCTTGGCTGCACATTTCGCAGAGCATTTCCCTGTGGAGCAATTCTGGCTGATTGCCGCGCACAGTAAAGGCGCTTGAAACTCGTAGCCCAGGTGCTAGGGTCTAGCCATCAGCCATCAGGGTTTAGGGTTTAGGGTTTAGGGTTTGGTGCAGCAAAAGCCTCAAGTCACTGGAGCTTGACGGATTCCTCTTAACCCCCAGGGGCCTCCAAGCCCTCAAGGGGGCCCCCTTGGAGGCCCTTGCTTTGGCGGGAATAGAAGCTAAGGATGACACATTTCTTGAAGGTCCTAAACCCTAAACCCTAAACCCTAAACCCTATGCCCTAGGCCTCAAACCCTAAGGCATGGGCGCTGAAGGCAGGGAATGCCGAGGCGCACTGCGGGAGGCCTCGCGGGGTCCCATAACTTGCTTCGAGCCCTAAACGCTAAACCCTAAACCCTAAACCCTAAACCCCAATTGCTTATTTTGTGCAGCACTGCGAGACAGCTGTGAGGGTTTGAAGTCCTTTGGGTTCATTTGCTACGGCGGAGAGAAGTTTACCGAGGGGTTTGCCCAAACCCTAAACCCTAAACCCTAAACCCTGAATTTCGCCGTCTGCTTTGCCTTTGCTGCCACCTCTGGCGTTCCTTCCGTGCCGCTGTGGCTCTCTGTGGGACGCAGCAAGGGTTTAGGGTTTAGGGTTTAGGGTTTAGGGTTTGGGGTTTGCAGGGCCCTCAAGGGTTTGGGGCGGTCTTTAAAGAACTTGAAAAGTGTCCAAGTGGAGGCCCGGAGGCCCCAGGTGGCTGATGTCCTTGCTGAAGCTGTTGCTGCTGCTGCGCCAACTACCCTCACCAGGTGCTGCTGCTGCTGCTGCTGCTGCTGCTGGTCCTGTTGCTGTTGCTTGGAGCTGCGGCTGCTGATGCTGCTGCCATCATGCTGCTGCAGCTGCTGTAGCTGCAGCGGTGGCTGCTGCTGCCTTTATGAGCTGCGGCTGCTGCTGCCTCTTGGAGCTGCTGCTGCTGTCGCTTGGAGCTGCTGCTGCTGCTGCTGCCTTTAGAGCTGCAGCTACTGCTGCTGCTTCTGCTGCTGGCAGTATTTGTGAACGAACACTGCTTAAAGGCTCTGGGTGCTTTGTGAATGAGGGGTTTATCGTTCAGAGTTAAGCCCTGGTGGTTTAGGGTTTGGGATTTAGGGTTTAGGGTTTAGGGTTTAGGGTTTGCGATCAGCTTGAGTGTGGGTGGCATCACGGAGGGCTGTTTGCTCCGCCTTGCCCAGCAAGTGGGGTCGAAGCTTCACACTTTCTGCTACACGCGGTAAACCCTAAACCCCAAACCCTAAACTCTAAACCCTAAACTCTAAACCCTATTCCTGTGCAGAGTCCAGCTGCAAAGCCTTAAAGTGTCCGCAGCCCCCCTCTGCGAGGCCCAGCGTTCCCACGGGCAAGCCCGCAAAACAAAATATCTGGGGTTTAGGGTTTAGGGTTTAGGGTCTAGGGTTTAGGGTTTAGGGTTTACGGTTTAGGGTTTAGGGTTTGTGCTGCAGGCTGAACGTGGGGGGGGCCCCCGTAAACGACTCGCTGCTGTATCTCTGTGCCATGAGGATGGGGGCCCTCACAACCCTCAGACTGGCAGATGCTTTAACCCCAAAGGACCTTCAGGGGGCCCCCGGGGGCCCCCACTTGTACCTCGTGAGCCAAACCCTAAACCCTAAACCCTAAACCCTCGCGCGAGCCCGCGGCCTGGCAGCGGCTGCAAAACCGAAATTAGGGTTTAGGGTTTGCGGCCCTCGAGGGTTTCTGGCTTCCTGCAGCAACCCCTCGTCACAGCGGATGGCCTCGCCCGCCTGCGGCCCCTCCTTGGTAGCCCCAAACCCTAAACCCTAAACCCTAAACCCTCGCGGCTGCTGGGGCGGATTGCTGCTAGCTGCTGCTCGGCAGGGTGGTTTGCGTGCCTCGTGAATCCTTAGAGGTTTGGGCTTCAGGGTTTAGGCCTGCGTGGCCTGCTGGCTGGGGGTTTCGGCCCTAGGGTTTAGGGTTTAGGGTTTAGGGTTTGTCAGGGCAGCTGGAGGCGCTAACCCTAAGCCGCAGCTGCGGCCTCCCCTTCGCCGTACTTTCCGACATTGACTTTATGGCCCTCGCGAGGTCCCTGTCTTCCAAGCTGCAGGAGCTGGAGCTCAACGGGTAAGGGTTTAGGGTTTAGGGTTTAGGGTTTAGGGTTTAGGGTTAAGGGTTTGGAGGGAGGGTTTGGGCTCGAGGGAGCCCTTCGGGCCGTGGAAAACAGGGCTTTCGACTCCTTGTTGCCAGAGACCTGGGATAGGGCCTGCGACCGAGGGTTTAGGGTTTAGGGTTTAGGGTCTAGGGTTTAGGGTTTCGGGTTTCCGGGGCAGGCTCCACGGCATCTCGGACGCGTTTCTCCACGAGGCCCTCGACGCCTGTGGTTCGGGGGGCCCCCCGGCGGCCCCCTGGGGGCCCCCAGAAAAAGATCTTGGGGGGCCCCCCGCTCTTCTTTTGAGGAGTTTCACAGTTGGCATTTAAGAAAGGTTTCTTTGGAGGCCTCGGACATTTCGGATGTGGGGCTCCAAACCCTCGCCACTGCCCTGGTAAACCCTAAGCCCTAAGCCCTAAGCCCTAAACCCTAAACCCTAAACCCTTGGTCTCGCAGCGAGCGAAGCAAACAAAGCGCGAGGTGGTGTGGCTTTATGCTTCTTTGGCTTTTGGAGCTCGGGTCTTCTCCCACATATGGGTTTAGGGTTTAGGGTTTAGGGTTTAGGGTTTAGGGTTTGGGGCTTGTTGGTGTTGTGTAGGGCCCCAACCTGTTAAGCCTATGCCTAAAAGGCTGCCACTCTATCAGCGAGGCTGGGCTGGCTGCTGTTGCCTCTTGCTGCCCCGTAAACGCTAAACCCTAAACGCTAAACCCTAAACCCTAAATCCTAGACCCTGCGGTTGACAGGAGGTTTTGCTGTTCCCCTATTCCCTGGCTTATAAACGCCCTCGCAGCACTTGTTGAAAATAAGAGGGTTTGCGCTTCCAGGCGAGGCCCCAGCCTTTCTGCGAGGGTCTAGGGTTTAGGGTTTAGGGTTTAGGGTTTAGGGCTTTTGGCGCAGAACTTGACGGGCCTCAACTTGGGAGCCTGCTGGGGCGTCAACGACATGAGTGTTGGAGAAGTCCTCAAGGGCTGCACCAAACTCAAGACAGTAGTGCTCAATGACGCAAAGTAATCAGGGTTTAGGGTTTAGGGTTTAGGGTTTAGGGTTTAGGTTTAGTTTAGGGTCGAGGGCTTGAAGTTTAGAGCTTACAGCCTTGGGCTTAGGCTTCAATGTTTAGGGTTTAAGGTTTAGGGTTCAGGGGTTAGCTTCCAGGGTTTAGGGTTTAGGGTTTAGGGTTTAGGGTTTGGGCATTGCAATTCTATCTTAATGACCCTCGCGGGCCTGGTGCCCTTGAAGTTGCATTATATATAAGCCTGTGTTTAGGGTTTAGGGTTTAGGGTTTAGGGTTTAGGTTGTGTTTCTTTCATTTTATATTTATATTTCAAATAAATTAGTTTTTATTTTTGTTTCTTTTTTTGCTTTTTATTTGAATTAATGCATGCGGGGCATAAAACATACGCAAGTGCATGCAGTGTATAATTGCAATAAGTTGCACTCAACCTTACACATCCTCCCGCTGCTGCTGCTGCTGCTGCTGCTGCTGCTGCTGCTGCTGCTGCT